TCCTTTCACAAGGCAGCCCACCTAGGAGACTCATCGCCCCCCACCCACCCCAGCATGGGCGCCTTAATGGGCTGGGGCTTCCACGGGAAGCTGACCCCGCCGGGTGATGGCACAAGCCCTCGGGGTGGGGTGGGAGCATGCCGCTCCCCTGTGCTCCCGAGGCAGCCGCCTGGGGTGAGTGTGCAGGGACAGCCTCTGGGCCAGCGGAGCCCCAACCCTGCGGCCCCGGGCGCCGCGTCTGAGTTCCCTCAGGCTCGTGGCTTCTCTGGGCCTCATGTCTTCATTTATCAAATGGGAAGATGGTGAGACCTACTTGGTAGGGCTGGTTTTAAACATTAATAAGAGATCAAGGTAAACAGCCTCGCTGTGGTTAGTAATTCTCAATGTCCATCTTCATCTTTCCCAATGAAGTCATCTTGGATGTGGGAGCCTCCCTGTCCGGGCGCTGAGCCCAGCGGAGGGTTCACAGAGCAGACGCCCACTCTCGGCCGGTCCTGCCATGCGGGCTCGGCATTCCCGCCCAAGGCTGGCTCACCGAGGTGCCCTGTGGTGTTGGTGGCACCGTGTGGGCACACTGAGCCTTTTGCACCGGTTCTGGGAGAGGTGGGGGCCCTCCTCTGAGCCCAGACGCCAGAGGCCAACCTTGTAAGCAGACCTTCCCAGGGCTGGCAGCCTCAGGCCCCGCTGCCACCCCTTCTCTGTGAGAACTCCTGTCAGGGCCACTGTGTGTGTCAGTGTGTGTGTGTGTGTCTGTGTGCCTGTGAGTCTGTGTGCTGGTGTGTGCGTGTGTTGGTATGTCAGTGTGTGTGTGTGTGTGTGTGTCCGTGTGTCTGTGTGTCTGTCTCCCTGTCTCTGCATCTTTGTGTGTGTCCGTGTGTCTGTCTCCCTGTGTCTCTGTGTGTGCCTGTGTGTCTGTCTCCCTGTGTCTCTCTGTGTGTGTGTGTGTCTGTCTCCCTGTGTCTCTGTGTGTGTGTGTCTCCCTGTGTCTCTGTGTGTGTCTGTGTGTCTGTCTCCTTGTGTCTCTGTGTGTGTCTGTCTCCCTGTGTCTCTGTGTGTGTCTGTGTGTCTGTCTCCTTGTGTCTCTGTGTGTGTCTGTCTCCCTGTGTCTCTGTGTGTGTCTGTGTGTCTGTCTCCTTGTGTCTCTGTGTGTGTCTGTCTCCCTGTGTCTCTGTGTGTGTCTGTGTGTCTGTCTCCTTGTGTCTCTGTGTGTGTCTGTCTCCCTGTGTCTCTGTGTGTGTCTGTGTGTCTGTCTCCTTGTGTCTCTGTGTGTGTCTGTCTCCCTGTGTCTCTGTGTGTGTCTGTGTGTCTGTCTCCTTGTGTCTCTGTGTGTGTCTGTCTCCCTGTGTCTCTGTGTGTGTCTGTGTGTCTGTCTCCTTGTGTCTCTGTGTGTGTCTGTCTCCCTGTGTCTCTGTGTGTGTCTGTGTGTCTGTCTCCTTGTGTCTCTGTGTGTGTCTGTCTCCCTGTGTCTCTGTGTGTGTCTGTGTGTCTGTCTCCTTGTGTCTCTGTGTGTGTCTGTCTCCCTGTGTCTCTGTGTGTGTCTGTGTGTCTGTCTCCTTGTGTCTCTGTGTGTGTCTGTCTCCCTGGGTGAGGAGGCAGAGACTGGGGAGAAACCCTTTCTCCTCCTGGGGAGATGCACACTGAGAGTGGGGCCGACATGCTGCGTCCCCAGCGTGGCCGGCTGTGCGAGCCCCTGTGCATGCGGTCACTGTGCGGCTGGCGTGGTCTCGCAGGAGCAACGGGGTGTGGAGCAGCTTCGCTGGCCCGGAGCCCCCTGGCACGCGTAGCAGAGCCACACACGAGCTGGAAGACGACGATTTCTCATTTTCCAAACCAATTTTGCTGACCTGATTTTCTTTTCTTTATCAACTCTTGTGCCAAGAAAGGGGATTGAGGAATGGAAGTAGCTTAATGGAACGCTGTGTGCTGCAGGGCTGGTGTCTCCATGGCGACGGGATGCAGGCTGCATGCAGACGGGGGCTGAGATGCACTGAGACAGCTGTGCCTCTGACGGGGCCGGGTGCACGAATGGCCTCCTGGACTCACGTGGAAATGCTGGTTCCTGGGCGCTGAACCGACAGGGGGCCAGGACTTTGTGTCTGATCTACCTCCTTCCATGGCTCTGAGGCTCAGGGAGTCGCAGGCCATGGTGTCAGGCTGTGAGTCAGCCCACGGCGGGTGTGGCACACTCTCAGCCCCATCACCAACTGTTCAGAGGAGTAATTTCGGGAGATCCCTCCCTGCAGCGGGGCCATGGGTGGGAGGGGAAAGGGAGGGGCCAGGGAGGACACGCCCACCTCAGGAGCTTCAGCCCCATCAGCACAAACCACCAGCAGACCCTTTAAGTAGCAGGACCCACGGGCCCTCGGAGGCCCCAGGACCGAGGGCACAGCTTTGCCCTGGGGGTGTAGGTAGTTGGGGGGCACAGGTCACGGCTGATGGCAGCACAGTGCACTGGCAAACCCTGATGGTCCTCATGCCCAGGAAACCCCTGGCCCAGACTCAGCTCCGCGGTTGCAGGGTAACCGATGGCAGTGGGAAGCATTTGCACGGGATCGCCACAGTTGTCCCTGGTGACCGTGTGTGTGGACTGGCGCGGTGGTGAGCCATTTTCCAGATGGGAGAACTGAGGCCTCCTCGGTTCCACTAGTCCCGGCAGGCATGCGAGCAGGTCCTGGGCCGCAAGGGGCAGAAAGTGAAGCCGCAGGAGAACACGGGTTCCTGGGGGACGTGTGTGCGTAGGAACAGGCGGCAAGCGAGTGAGGACGTGCCTGAGATGGTGGACAGCTGTTTTCCTCTTGGACTTCCAGCTTTGTCTTTTTAATCACGGGCAATGAATTATTAATAAAAATATCGCTCATGTAGTTAGAGATACACTGGCAGTAGGACATGTGGCGGCAGCGGAACTTCGGACCCGAGTCCCTAGCCTCACTCTGCCCCATGCATGTAAAGCCGTCGTTCCCTCAGCCTCCGAAAGCCCGTCTGGAAATGGGCACAGTGATGGTGCCCACTGCCCAGGCCACGAGGACACGATGGGTGACTAACGCACGTCTGCACTCCACGCGTGCCAACCGAGGGCGTGACCTCGGGCAGGCCAGCCCAGGGGCTCCGTGCACCGCACCGTTTGCCTCTCAGCGTGAGAAAGTCACATGTGTCGTCCCGTCGAGAGAGAAGTAAACTGAGGCCTCCCGAGGGCAAGGAACTCCCCAGGGTCACAGCGAGGGCGGAGCCGGGCTTTGCGTCTGGACGGCCCGGCCCCAAAGGCGCTGCTCAGACTGCCGGCCCAGCACTGGGAGGCGGCGGGACTTCTGTAGCCGCTGGCAAGGTGCAGGGTGGCGGCGTCTGTCTCTGGGGGCCCAGCTGTCACATACAAAGGACGGTGTCCGCAGGCAGCTGCTTCATCTCCCCACGGAGCGCCTGCTCCTGATGCGCTGGGTCTGCTGCTTCCGGGGCTCCAGGGTGCCCTCCTCACGGCAAAGGGAGGTTGTAGGGCCTGTGGGGCCCAGATGCTGCGGAAGCTCCTGAGCCTCTTCAGTTGGGGTTTCTAGGAGGTTCCTTACAGAGCAGGACCCAGCGATCTTCCTCCTCCCTGGGTCAGAGCAGGGCTGGAGGTCCCAGCTTGGGAACAGAGACCAAACATATACCATCCTCCAGCTGCATGCGCACACGGGCTCCATCCTCCACCTGCATGCTCACATGGGCTCCATCCTCCACCTGCATGCTCACACAGATGGGGTCTGACGGTGGGGTTCAGACACCCGGTGTCCATCTTTCCCTTTGCCAAGTCCTCCCGTCCATGCGCCCAGATGCCAACACACAACCCCATTTGTGGAGCAGCCTCGCGCCGCTTCCTCCTGTCTGTGCGCCCCCAGCCTGGGCGGCCAGGAGAGGGCATGGGGACCCCAATGTCGATATGATTATTTTTTTTCTTCTGAATCAAAACACCCTCCTCTCATGAGAGGAGAACTCCATGTTTCTAGGGCGACTGACTCAGTGGGCTGCCAGCTTTGAAAGGACCTGAGAAAAAACATATATAAACAACATATATATTGGACCTTGGTGCTGGCGCCAGGTGGTGAGGGAAAAGAAAAGAAATGCAAAAATAAAAGAAATAAAAAGAGCATGAGACAAACACACAGCTGGTTATGTAACACCCGATGGGTGACGTCCTGGGGCTGGGCCCATCAGCTGTGCACAGGGACCAGGCCTGGCCAGCCCCCGGGGCCCGGGCATCCACCAGGCACCCCTCTCCCATCGACCCGCACCGCCCCGTTTGTTGGGTCTGTTATTTTGAAAGCTTGCTTGTTCTTCACGTTAGGGGCTGGGCTTGGGCTCGGCAATGAGACCAGCAGAGCAGGGCCAGGCCTGGCCTTCGATGAACGGGCCTCTGTGCTGGCGGTTGTGTGAGTCCGCGTGGGGGTGCAGGGGCCGCAGGTGAGACGTGGCGATGATGTGGGCCAGGGTGGAGGTGGCTGAGGTGACAAGCGGGCGGATGACGGGCGTGTCTGAAGGCAGAGGGACAGCGCCTGCTGGCAGGCTGAGCGTAGAACCTGCGGAGAATAGAGCCAAGGCAGACGCCCAGGGTTAGGCCCGAGCCTGCGAGGGCGGAGCGGACATTCCAGGCAGCGGGAACACGCAGGGCCTATGTCGGGGGCGGGAACGTGTCCTGGGCGTCCCCGTGGAGGTGAGCAAGCAGTGACACCGGAGAGTGGACCTCGGTGCCAGCGCCAGGTGGTGAGGGAATGATCGGCCCCCGACCCCCAGAGAGCTCTCGGGGAAAGTAAATGGGGGGCGGGGGGAGTCATGTTGGACCCAGAAGCAGCTTCAGAAAATACCTGGCAGGAGGGGAAACCGAGGCCCAGAGAGCGCAGGTGGTTTGCTCAGGGTCACACTGCAAGTGAGCGACAGGCCGTCCCTTGCCCGCCCTACCTCCACCCCGACCCAGGCTCGAAGGCTGCTGCCTGAGGCAGGAAGCTGGCGGTGACCCCGCTCTGTCCCCCCAGGTCACCATCCTGGTCAGCCTGGCCCTCGCCTTCCTCGCCTGCATCGTGTTCCTGGTGGTTTACAAAGCCTTCACCTACGACCACAGCTGCCCCGAGGGCTTTGTCTACAAGGTAAGGGCCTCCGCAGGTGAGCAGCCGGGGACGGCTTATCAGCGTCTTCTTCTCACTGGCGCCCAGGCTCCGGGTCCGCCCCTCCCTGCAGACTGTTTAAGGGGTGGCCGAGGGTCTGCCACTTGGCACGAAGGACTGGTCTCGGGGGACAGTAGACGAGGTGCACCCTGCTGTGAGGCGTTGCAGTGAGGAGAGTCCCGCTCCCTGGGGGACACTCCCCGTCCGGCCTCGGGGCTCTCCCTGGCCAGAGCGTCCTGGTCTGAGGGCTGCGTCCTGTCCCCACGGCCCGCAGAGATGGATGACAGGTAGCTGCAGAGGGGCCCCAGGCCGCAGCCCCACTCTGCTCCTTCCCTCCAAGACCTGGGCCAGCTGCATGGCCCGGGGCGTCCCCTCGCCCTCTGAACCTCAGCTGTCTTACCTGCCAAATGGGCACGCATCGTCTGCCCACAGGCTTTTGTGAGGCCCAAAGGAGAGAACTTAGTAAAGCCAGCCAGCGAAGGGCCTTCTACATCAGCCTTTCCCACCTCACAGACCACTGGTTAGCGACCGCTGTTCCAGATAACCGCTCTCCACAAACGTTCGTCAGAATAGACGTCTGATCTGGATCTAGAGCAGGGGCCGTGCGCCTTCGTCAATTACCCTTCCCAGGAGCCCACGCTGGGCGTTTCACGCACGTTCCCTCCGTGGAGCTGCACCCCATTGAGAAATACAGGGGGTTCCCCCATTTCCATCCGAGGGAAGGGAGGTGAAGGGCGTCTGGGGAGCAGCGGTTTCTGAGACGTCACCCAACATTGCAAAGTGAGGGAGTCGCACGTGGAACGCCCCCTTCAAGCAGGTTCCCCAGGAAAGGTGCCACGGGACTCCCGAAGACATGTCCTGAGCAGGCGCCCGGGCTCTGGGTGGTGGTGACGCTGTCACCAGGGACAGGTGCATACGCTGCGACGCAGCCACACGGGGGACTCTGTGCTGCGGTGACCATAAGGCAGGGAGGTGTCCAGACCCGGACACAGAATCCCCCCAGCATAAGACAAAGGCAGAGGTGCTGCTGTGTGTGAGGGGGAGGGGGCGGGGCAGGGGTGCTTCCATTGGCAGAGACGCTCCCTAAGAAATGCACTGGAAAATGAAGACACATGGGTCCTGGGGGATGGTTAGGGCACAGGGACCCGGAGCCAGGCTCCCCGCACGCGTCTTGCTGAACATCTGCCCTTGATGGTGTAATTACATCAATATGGTCAGGAACCAGGCTTTTTAAAAATAGATACTTTTATTGATCTCAGAGAGGAAGGGAGAGGGAGAGAGAGAGAAATATCAATGATAAGAGAATCATCGATCAGCTGCCTCCTGCACACCCCCTACTGGGGATCGAGCCCGCAACCGGGCATGTGCCCTTGAGTGGAATCGAACCCGGGACCCTTCAGTTCGCAGGCCGGTGCTGACCCAAACCAGCCAGGGCGGGAACCAAGGCTTTGATGACGAGGACACACAAGAGCAAACTAAAGGAAATAGGCGGCCACGGCTGCGGGCAGGGCGTGGTGTGGGGTGACGGGAGCCG